TTCATCAGACCAGCTCGGCCCCACCCATAGCCCGCCCGGTTCCTAACCTGGGTGTCAGTTTCTACATTTGTGGGGGCAGAGGGGTGAGGGGTAGGTGGAGGGGAGGGGGTTAGTTGGTAGGACCAAGAGGCCTAAGCATAGCAAAATTGTGCCAATAGAGCCCTTGTGACGGAAGGAGGATGTAGTCTCACAGGTACAGCTTAGCAAGAAGACAACACCTTTGGCCAGGAAAAAGGTGTCCTGTACTGGGGCAGATAGCCCAGGCCAGGGCACAGAGCCTGGCGGCCAGAACATGGACAGTGTTTCATTGCCCTCCCTGTCAGCTGGGCACCTGCATAGGTGATGCACAACCCCAAGCCATGGCTGGGTCCGAGTTGCCAGTGTGATCTTTCCTGTGTGGACTGGCCCAGGGAAGACGGTCGGGTGAGCAGTAGAGAATGCTGCTGTCTCGGGCTGCCCCCTGGTGGCCACCTTCTGCATGACACTAGCCGCTCCAGGGAAGCGTCTTATCTGGTTGTCTGCATCTGGGTCCTCACAGGGCCTCCTCCCCCACCTGCAGACACCCTCATACCCAGGAGCTGGGGTACCAGCCACTGAAACTCCCCCCAAAATATCCTTTCATGCAGTAGCTATGGTGGACCAGACCTGGGCCTGGCCCAAGAGTGACTGAGCTCACAGATGAGGAGGCAGAGGATGGACTTGCCTGGTCCCCCAGATGCCCGCCTAGGGAGCTGGCTCCCGGCACCCCCACCCCCATGCCCCAGCAACTGGGACCCCAACTCCTCCTGCAAAGCAGTCTTTTCCCTACCTTCAGCCCACTCCCTGTGCTGTGCTCTCTGCCAAGCTCAGCTGTGGACTGTCTTCCTCTTTTCCCCCCGACATTCCTCAGAGGACACTCTGCCCCCTTGGGGTGACCTCAGGCTGTGCCCACTCTGAATCCCAGACCAGATCCTTCTCTGCATCCGTGGCAGCCCCTCGCATCTGCAGGGCTGTGACCCCTAGTCTTCCTGGGTAGTTATTGTATTCATTCCCACCGCCACCCCCCAACATGGTGGGCACGCCTTCCCCAGCCAGCCGGAACCCCATCTGTCCCATTCACACTGGGCCTCAGCACCCACAGGCCTGTGCACCCTCGGCACTGCGGGATGAATGAAAGGTTGGCTCCGTCAATCCTGGCCCTGAGCAGCACTAGATGTGTGACCTTGGGCCAGTCTCCCTTGTGTTCTGTCAACAATGAGCCTTTGTACTGGACACAGGAGTCAAACCGGGTCTGTCTGGCTTCCAGTTCTCTTCCTGCTCACCCAGTTCTCCTTGCCCCAGAAAACCAACACTGTAGAAATTTTTGATGTTTGGAGCCAGACAAGCCCAGTCTGAAGTCCCGTGTGCCCTGGCCGATGCCCTGGTACCACCGAGGCCAGTGTCCAGTATCTCTGGCTCCACCCGTGTGCACACCTCTGCCTACTCTCATGTACTCCACTTTCTTTCTTTCTTTTTTTAAGATTTCTTTGTGCATACAGAGCTGGGGTACAGGCCAGAGGTGCAGGGGCGGTGAGAAGCTTCACCAGAGGCAGAGCGGGGAGCAGAACAGGCAGATCGACGAAGTACACTGCTGAGGGGAGCAGCGGGCGGGTCAGGAGAGGTCTGCCGCGCCCTGTGGGTCAGCTGGAGGGGATTGAGCCCATGAAGTGGCTGCAGCTAGCTTCGTAGTGCTGGGCTTTAACCTGTTTAACCAGGGAGGGCCCACCACTTTCTTTCTTTTTTTTAGAGAATTATTCCTTTAGGGGGCCTCCCTCTTACCCCCCGCACCTCTGGCCTGCACCCCATGTCTTGTATGCATAAAAAAATAAAATAAAACCTTTTTAAAAAGAATTATTCCTTTATTGTAAGATTTTATTTTATTTATTTTTGCATAGAATGACTGGGGCACAGGCCAGAGGTGCAGGGGGTAAGAGGATTCCCCAGAGACAGAGTGGGGAGCAGAACAGGCAGATCTACCGAGATCCACTGCTGAGGGGAGCAGCGGAGACAGGAGACATCTGCTGCGCCCTGGGGGTCACTTCCTGGTCGAGGCCCAAACTCAGGCCACTTTGCTGCCGAAGGGCTGTCACAATGGGAAGGCTGAACCTTAACCCCTAGGCCAGCAGGGAGGTCTTTGTCCACTCCACTTTTGACCCCCACTGCATGGTCGCCATCATGCCCACCACCACATGGCTGGCACGGGGTGGGGGAACTGGCAGCGCACCTGAGTGATTTCCGCACACGGCTCCCCCACTTCAGCTCCACCCAGGCAGGGACTGGTGGCTCTGACCCATCCCGGTCACAGCTCCTGTTGATGCATCTTCTCCTGACAGAGGTCTGCAGCTTTTGCTCGCCACGCTCCAGTGTCCAGCCAGGGCGGGTACAGGGGCTGGTGAATGTCCTTTGCTGAACAAGTGGGTGGGCACAGGACTGGGAGCGGGGCTCCACCTGCAACCCCACAGTAATGACTGGGGAATGGGGTGCAGGGTGTGAGGAGGTTGAGCTGGGCACTCTCACCTGGGGCCCCCTCTTCCTCTCCCTCATGGATGGGTGGGGGTAGGAGGCAGCGGGGGAGGGGAGTGGGAGGTGGTAGGGCAGCTGGGCTTCGGGCTGAGCTGGGTGGGGATGGCCCCCCGGGGAGGACAGCCACGCATCTTGGAGCTGCCTGAGGCTCTGGGATTCGTGGCTTCAGCAGAATTCCAAGGACAGGGAAGGTGAACGTGGGCGTGAGGGGGGGAGATGCCAATCCCTACGTGGCCCAGGGTCGGACTGGTGCAGGGCTGGGCTGGCGGGCAGGAGGCCTGGGTTCTAATGCCCACAGGGCCATCAATTTGCTGTGTGATCTTGGGCAAGCCTCTGTCCATGTGGAGGGGGTCAATAACACCCCTGCTTCCAGGGCACCCGGAGCCACCTCCGCTCACGCTGGCCAGATCCCAGAGTCGGTGAGCAAGGTACCCTGGCTGCAGCCCCTGCCCAACCCCTCCACCTGTCCTTCTCTGAGGCTGAAGGGGACACAGTGGGCTCCCCAGGCTCCCTGTCCCCTCTACAGCGGTCCCTCCCTGTGCCCTCTGCCCCCGAGGCTGCCAGGCTGCCAGCAGGAGCATCTCAGCTGTGGCAAGGGCCTGCGTCACGGTGAGTCAGTGCTCCCACCAGGGCAGGTCCAGTCACTCCATCGTGGGAAGAGGCAAGGACACAGCCGAGCCACCCAGGATGATACCCCAGAGCCTGGACACAGCAAGCCCAGTTTCCCTTCCCCGTGCAAGGGCAGGCACACCCCTGGCACAGCACCAGGCGCTGGGCATTATGGTGACACGGCACGTGGTGCCTCAGAGAGGTCCTTTTCCAGGCCAGATCTGGGGAGGGGACAGCAGGCGATGGAGCAGAGCACAGGGGCTCTGAGCCCCCAGGGCTGGACACAGCACCAGCGTGCCCTGGTCACACTGGCACATAGTAGGTGCTTTGTCTGCATCTACTGAGCAGAGGCCCTTCAGGCTTCCCTCGCGCGTGGTGAGGTCAGTGGGATGATAGATCATAATTAGCCCAAGTTAGGCACCTACTATGTGCCGGTTATTTTGCATGTCTTATCTACACAGCAATCCCGTTAGGTGAGATTTTTTTTTTACCCACAGTTGACAGATTTAAAAAGCAGGCTCAGGGAAGTGAAACAACGTGCCCAAGGTCACAGCTTGTGCGAGCTCAGTCCCTTCCCAGCAGATCCGCCAGACCAGGGGCCATCTCCACTCAGACTACTGCAGAGAGGGCAGGGGCCCAGACAGTCCCACCCTCCAGGGGCCTCCGCCTCCACACACCCGGGCCATCACGGGGAGCCTGGCTTCCTCCCCTGTAAAAGGGACACAGTGTCGCCCAGCCTGTGCACAGGTGCCAGGATGGAGCGAGGCACAAGGTGAAAGCAGGTGCTTACTGCCCCGCAGAGCTGAGTGCATGTGTGAGAGACTGCAAATAAATACAGGTGTGCGTAAGTACGCTTGCGTGTGCGTAAGTACGCTTGCGTGTGCGTAAATACGCTTGCGTGGGACCCGAGTGAGTGGGTGTGCGGAAAGGCCAGTGTGCATCAGTACCCATGCGAATGGCTGCTAGGAGAGTGGGCTAGTGCTGTGTGCCCACCAGCAGAGCCTGGGAGCGCTAGCCTGTGTGAGCGAGCCTGGTGTGCAAGTGTGTGGGGGTCGGTGCTGGGGTTCTGGGCTCCATTAGCGGGATCCCCGGCTGGGCAGTCTCACCCCCCAGCAGGTGCTGCAGGACACCCACAGGGACGTGGACACCAGTCCGGGCCAGGGTCCCCGGAAATGAGGAGCCCTTCTCGCAGAGAACCAACCTCAGCCAGGCATCCACAGGCCTCAGTTTCTTCCTCTGCAAAATGGGCACAGGGAATTAAGCGCTGGGCCTGGGGTCTGGTTGCTGCACCTACACGCGCCCCTCTTGGCCCTGCCGGCCCCCCCCCCCCCCCCTCTCCCTGGTGCTGGGACCTGCTGAGGCCCT